ACACTGATCTAGTAACTATACAGTGTTTATCAATCTTAGTGAATTTAAGATGTGTGGAATTCAACTCGCATTAATTCCCGCCAGCAGGCTGGCGGGGGAACTTTGGGAGTTGAAGTCCGGACATCTTCAAGTTGCCAAGGTTGAGAAACACTGATCTAGTAACTATACAGTGTTTATCAATCTTAGTGAATTTAAGATGTGTGGACTTCAACTCCCAAAGTTCCCCCGCCAGCCTGCTGGCGGGAATTAATGCGAGTTGAATTCCACACATCTTAAGTAATATTACATTTAATGTAAACCATTACCGCTTTCTTTTTCCCCCGCTCTTTGGGATAGGAGATGCATCAAAGAAATCGGATTCAAACCCTTTAACAGAAATACTGAAATGTCCAACCAAAGTTGTCTTATTGCGGGTAAGTTTCCCCTGTTTGATTCATCAGCCATCCTGAATTGGTGATTTTCAGGGTTTGGGTTGGCATTAAGCCTGGAGCTTTTTAAAGAAGAGATTGGACAGTCATTTGTCTGGGTTCACCGACAAATGCGCGCTCGACAAAAGCGGGCCGACGAAACCATGGGAAAAAAACCGCAGGTTCGAAATCGCGCCGATGAATGAGCGCAGAAGCGCGCCGACAACAGCGTGCCGACAGAAGCGCGCTCTAAACCTAACCCTAAAGGTAACCCTGAACCTTACCCTAACCCTTACCTTAACCGTAATCGCGCTTCTGTCGGCGGTCTTGTCGGCGCGCCTTTGTGGGCGCGCTGTTGACATCGCGGTTTTGTCGGCGCGCTGTTGTTGGGCGCGCATTTGTCGGGTCACAATTTGTCTGGAATGGTATAGGCCTGTGATGGCGAACCTATGGCATGCGCGGCGTTGTCAGTGCCAGTGCGCATGCGTGTGCTGGCCAGCTGATTTCTGCCATTTTTCGCCCTCTGGAGGCTTCCCTGAATTCTGTTCCCGAACTTCCGGTTTGCACGTTGGGCCGTTTTTCACCTTCAGGAGGCTTCTCTGAAACCTTTGGAGGGCGAAAAACAGCCCAACACAAAAGCCAGAAGTTGGAAAACGGGCCATTTTCAGCCTCCGTGGGATGCAGGGGAGGCCGTTTTCGTCCTCCCCAGGCTCCAAAAAAGCCATATGCGGGGGCGGGGGATGGTGTCACAAGTGCATGTGCAGGGGGCATGGTGCAGGGGGGGAATTAAGTTATGGGGGGGTCACGCGAGCGGTGCTTTTGGCACTCTAAGCGAAAAAGATTTGCCATTACTGGTATATAGGCTCTCTTGCTTGAGCAGAGAGGGTTGGACTAGAAGTCCTCCAAGGTCCCTTCCGAGTCTGTTATTCTGTTACTTTTAGTTTCAATTAGCTGGAGGAAGTGATATTAAAATGATCAGAAAGGACATGACTGCAGCTATTCCATGATGGCAAATGTGAATTTATTCTCTGAAGCTCACAAGAGTCTTTCTGATTTCAGTGGAATAGAAATACGTTTAGTAAATAGACATTTGTGAGAAAAAATCTCTCCAGGTTTAAAGGAAAACTATAGTTGTCCAAGAGTAAAGAAACAATTCGCATTTCAAACGTAGAGCCTATTATTATTTTTTTGTTGCAGAATATGGTTGGAGCTGGGGAAGTTGACGAAGACCTTGAAGGTGAAACGNGTATATAAGTCTAACTGCTATTGCTATTGCTATTTTGGCTTGACAATCCAGAAAGCTGTTCGCTTCACCAGGTGGAAAGAAAGTTGCCAGGCTTTAGTGCCCGTCAAGAGGACGACAGCAATAAAATTGGGAGCGATTCCCTCCTCCTTTTAAACACATGCACAATTTCTGCAATTCCTGCATTTATAGAAGGAGGAAGATTCCACTCAGGGACCTTGGTTATTTACGAAGGCTTTTCAGTGCTGCTAAGCTCTAACATCTGTTAATTGGGTTATACAATATTAGCTTGATGTATCAAATCATATCTTTTCCCAACTCTGAAAGACATCAGGGATTACCGAAACAGTTGATTTTTTTTTCATCTCCTATTCTGCCCTGCATTAAATACTGTTATATGTTGACATAAACTCCCTGGAAAGGAAAATGTCAGATAAAATGCAGGTAGTTCACTATCGAAAAGATGTTAAAGGGTTTTTTTAAATAATTGCCATCGTAGTTCAACATAACAAGATTTGTGCAAACTTACCCTTTTTTAACATAGGGTGGCTCAGTGGCTAAGATGCTGAGTTTGTCAATCAGAAAAGTTGACAGTTCCACGGTTCGAATCCCTCGCGCTGCGTAACGGAGTGAGCTCCCGTGACTTGTCCCAGCTTCTGCCAACCTGGCAATTCGAAAGCATGTAAAAATGCAAGTAGAAAAACAGGGACCACCTTTGGTGGGAAGGGAACAGCGTTCTGTGTGACTTTGGTGTTTAGTCGCGCCAGCCACATGACCACGGAGACGTCAACGGACAGCACTGGCTCTTTGGCTTTGAAACGGAGATGAGCACCGCCCCCTAGAGTCAGGAACGACTAGCACATATGTGCGAGGGGAACCTTTACCTTACCCTTTTGAATAAAATGAACAGCAAAGACTATATTTACTTCAGTTGCACTAGTGTACATGTGCTCTGCACAAAATTGGTTTTAGAATGTCGTCGCCTTTATAAATATTCTAGGAATGTAGCAATTTCTGCTCAAGATTTCTTTGGAGTCAACCGGTAGTCTCTGATTATCAGCCTTTGATAATCTAGTACAGTGTTTCTCAACCTTGGCAACTTGAAGATGTCCGGACTTCAACTCCCAGAATTCCCCAGCCANCTGCTGATCTAGCAGTAGCCTGCAGTGCTGCATTTAACCACTGCGCCACCTTGGCTAGCCCTGACTTAGATCATCTCAAGCTACTACCAGTAACTCTCTTAGGGATTTGTAATTCTTTCTTCCCTTTAGCTCTGCTGCTCATGTGTTCAACTAAATGTTGAAGGCTTATGGCTGGAAATGAAAGCAGCCCTATACTCTATTTTCCTTAATATCTAATTCATTCAAATTGCATGTAAGTCTAATGAGGGTCTGAATGCAAGTATACTTTCCAAGTGATCCAGGACTCTAACAAAACAGGAACCTCAACTGCACAGGAAGCCGAACTCACATTCAAATATAGGTGACTATAATTCATTTTCAGACCCCTAGATGAGTACTTGATATGGGGATCAGACAAAAAAAGGGAGTCCATGGTTCAAAGCGTCATTCTTTACCATGCCAGCCATTCATGCATTCAGCATTGTTGATGAACGGGACTTTTAGCTTTCCTGGAAATCATGTTCAATTGTGCAACCAGGTTGTCAATGTCTACAATGGTATTGATGCAAAAAGTTTATTTTATGAATTTGCAGAGGCTACTTGATCTGGGCTTTCATAAATGACTGAACCCTATTTTTCTCCAGCAACTCATTTTATGTTTTAAAAAACCCCTTACATGTATAATAATGTATAAATATATCTTATATTTAAGATATAAGCACTGCCATTCATGGTTAACCAAAGCTCAAGACCTTTACTGTAGACTTGACTGATATCCAACCTGCAAAAAATAAAGCACTGATCATACAATGTTGGAGCAGGTTTGGTAATACTTAGAAAGTGTTAGCACAAATCTAGTTGATCAAAATACTAAACTTCTATAATGCTCACAAGAGAGAACTTTTTTGAACTTTGACCCCCCACAATTATTTTTCAGAAAGCATTGATTCATCTAAAGTGTTGATTCAACTAATTGAAAAGGTTTTCATTTGAAAAGAACTACTGTATTTTTTGGAGTATAAGATGCACCTTTTTCACCCCTAAAAGTGGAAATGTTGGTGCATCTTATACTCCAAAAAATACAGTAGTTCTTTTCAAATGAAAACCTTTTCAATTAGTTGAATCAACACTTTAGATGAATCAATGCTTTCTGAAAAATAATTGTGGGGGGTCAAAGTTCAAAAAAGTTCTCTCTTGTGAGCATTATA